CGAATTCTCTTCCTTTTCCCCCATCCCCCCTCCCCTTTATACGCCTGCTACGCAGGCTACGGGTATTTTGGCTCGACTAATAGCTCGAGCAAACTCGCCTGATATGCCGCCGAAGAGTATTAAAATGGGACGATTTGGTATAGAAAGTAGCCTTTCTGTCTGTCTGTCTGTCTGTCTGTCTGTCTGACGGTCTGTCTGCTGTCTGTCTGTCTGTCTTTTTGCTTATCTGTCTTCCTACAAGGCTACTTGCAGCTTCTGGCGACATGTTGATGTCTTATTGGGTCTTTCCGTGGGATCTGTTTGACTGTAAGAGTAATCACGCTTACGATTCGTGTGAATACTTTGGATGTAAAGTCTTTCTGTTTTGCACTTATTCTCGTTAAATGTTTCTTTTTTTCTAGGTCTACTTGGCGAGGACGGAAACTGCTTCGACTGGTTCAATTACGTGGCAGATAGATTTGAATTCTTGCGATCTAGTGATTGACAGCGTTACTATAGTGGCAAGAAGCACCACCTATCAGACCGGACGGGTGGACTGGAAACTAACTGGAGATGAAGAGAGTCAAAGTGAGACGCTCTCAGGTGGTAAGTGATCAAAATGTCATTTCTCCTTGAATATCAGTACATCCTCAAGCAGACAAGTGATGAGAATAAAGAAATGATCGACTAAGAGTTGCTGTCTTGATGAAGCGCCAAATTCTCATAAATGTCAATGGGAGAAGTAGTCTATCGATCGACGCACCTTGTAATGGCAAGACAATTAAACCGAGCTTGACATTACTGTTAAAGAAAGCGTGCTTGATGAGCTTTTTGCAAGCGAGAAATGAAACATGCTGACGGAAAAATCCTGAAAGTCCTGTAGAACTCCACACTATTTATTGAACTCAGTTAAATGACCTTGCTCTCCATGAGTTCTCGTAGCTCAGTGGATAGAGCGCGCGCCCGGTGTTCGGGAGGTCATGAGTTCGATTCCTGTCGGGGACTCAAATTTTTTCTTTATCCCACGCTCGTGTCATGTTGATCAATTCACCCTTCACATTGTCAATCTTATTGAACGAGTGGAAAGTTCACGCCAGAAGCCGCTACTAGATCTGACATTTTGTATTCATTTTGTCAGTGAAATTGTATTTTTATTAGGGAAAAGTCAGATAATTTTGGTAAGTGATGTCTGTGGCAACCATATTTTTCCACTGACAAGCTTGAATCACTCTTTCCAACAGGGCAAGAATCAACCATTACGTCTGCTCTCAGTGGCTCCAAGACTCTCAAACTTACAGCTACACTCAGTGGCGGGAAAGGAGACGTTGCCTGGCAACACGCGCAGATCTTCCGCCAGACGTTTGGCAGCGAGAGTGAATATCCACTCGATATATTAGTCTTGTTTCGAGAACCCACGCGCGACACCCACCTCTAGAGTTTTTAAAGAAAAGGCACAATGCTACAGTGCAACCCTAGTTAAACGAACTCCTTATCCCGGATGTAACAAAACTCTGAATATTGAAGCCCCGGATTTAGCGAGCATCGGGATATACGCATCTCCTATACAGGGAACTCCTGATCTAACGAATCTTCCGGATATAGGGAACCTCCACATGGTATAAACCTTCGGATGTTAGCAATCTTCGGATAGAGGGAAACTGCGGAGATAACAGACCTCTGGATCCAGGGAGCCCCCGATATAACGAATATAGGGAACTAATCTGCGGATATAACGAGGTTTCGGATAAAGCGAACAAACGTTGCTAAACTAACCATTTGTAAAGACATCGACTGAACCATTTTCATTTTATAACAAACGTCAGATTAAACGACCTGAATCTTCCGAACCCAAACGAGTTCGTGAAACCAGGGTTGTACTGTACGTTACCCAAACTAAAGGTTCACAAATACATATGAGTTAAAACCTTAGATAGATCTTTCTTTCTATAGACTTTTTTTCTTAGAACTTTAACTGTTATGAATCATTGATTCTACCCTTGTCACCGGCAGAGAGTTATTCTATCTTATCCTTACTGTATCTAGCAGGTGTAAACGAGAGCAGATTAGTGAAAATGTAGGGCTTGAACGAAGGAACAATGATTTAAATACTGACTTTGAGAGCTAATAGAAAGTACGTGTAACAAGTTTAGGTGATTTTCAAAACAAATACTTTGAACTAGGTTAAACTCCTAAGAAGCGAACAAATGAACTGACAAATGAATAATCAAACTGCCTTAATTTTTAAAGGGTTTTCAAATTAAACACGGGTCCGTTAACTTTATGGAGACGAATTTTTTTCAGCGAAACACTGACTTCCCTTTTGAAGGTCAAAGTTTAGACTGCAGTAAAAAATACCCAGTAGTAATTTAGCGCGAAAATTGTTTAAAAATTTAATAGGCTATGTATCTGAATTTTAGAAACATTACAAATAGAACTTAATGAAATTTTTCTTGGAAATCGGGGTAAGCTACAACTCGGACGAGGTGGACCAGTTTGGCTTCAGTGCAAATTTAGTTTTTTCTTAAAGTAGTATCTATTGGAAAAGTTCGAGTAGTATTGAATTATGTTAAATAGTACTGTAGTAGTAAAATACCAAGACATATTTGAAGAGCAAGAGAAATCATTAAAAATGATTTTAACTCGTGCTTATTTATCTGAGTATTGTCATTCTTGTTTTGTTGAACAGAGACCTCGAGTTGTTTCTTAGGTTTCTCTCGTGGGTGAGCTCACGAGCACGCGAGAAGATCGCCTCGCACGAGTTCGGTTTA